GTAAGCCTGTGTTTCATTTTATTTTGGTGAATAATTTTGGCACAATATTCTAATTTCACTTTGAAATTCTTAAGTGCTGCGCCACAGAGTTGGTATAATTCAAGTAGAGTATGATGAAAGACTGCCCTCTTGTGGTGTATGGGAAGAAAACAACAAATGATGCAAAGCGAGGTGGCCTGAAACTGGGTCTAGCTTCATACCTGCCACAGAAATGATGGTGTCAGGCACCAGAGAACATCAGTTGCCAGATCACTGGGTATTTTTTCCTTTTACAATATCCACAATGACAGATGGCTTGGTGCTTCTGCTTGGTGAAAATATTTTGCCTTCTCCTCACTTTGTGTACGTTTCTAAAAGTTCCAAATGAAATAAAATCCATTTCTGCAAAACAAACCCACACTCTAGTTTCAGTGAAGTTAGAAAGAGGCATTCAGGCAAAAGTGGAATCTACTGGGGGAGATGAGGTGAGAGAATTCAGTATTAAATTAGGGTCAGAGCTTGTAAGGTGACTTGGCTTGCGAGTTTGCCTAATAGGGCTGCTTCCTACTGAATGACACACATTTAAAGAGATCCAGGAAATAATCGAGTGGTATAGAAATGAAGAAAAACAGAATGCAGGAAACAAATGCCAAGGGGAAGTATTTATTCTGATTTGCCCAATTTATTTTGGTTTAGCCAATCAATGGGCATAGCACCCTTCTAGGTACGGGGGATGCAGCCAAGTGCCTACTCTCATGGAGTTTGCATTCTAGTGAAGAACAAGAGATGAACAAATATGTCAAGTGGTGATAAATGCTGGGGAGAAAAAGCAGAAGAGGGTTAGTGATGGGATACGAGTCCCATTTTATCCAGGGTGATCAAGAAAGACTGCTCTGATAAGGCTCCATTTAAGCCAACTCCTGGTAAAGTGAGAATGAGACATGGATATCTGAAGGAAGAGCACTGCAGGCAGCAATGATGTGAGTGCAAACCCTGAGGCAGAGCATGCTTAGTATGTTTGAGGGCGAAAAAGGAAGTTACTAAAGCAGAGAAAGGAAGAGAAGGATGGGCCAGACATAGTTGGATCAGATCACAGAGGGCTGGATAAGCATTGTAAGAATGTAAAGCTAGGAAATCCTGGAGGATTCTGAGCAGAGGTGTAACATAATCTGACTTACGTTTCAGTCTGGCTGGTATGTGAAGAATCAAGTATGAGGGGTAATGATGGATGTGGGGAGAATTTTTGGGAAGTTGTTGTCACAGTCTATATGTGTTTTGGAACCAAGTTGATAGCAATAGATATGTTGACAAGTGGTTGGATTCTGGATATATTTCAAAGATAGGAATAATAGGATTTAATGATGGATTGGATTTAGGTCAGATAAAACCAAAAACAACACACTTTAATGGTATTTTGGCCTAAGCAGTTGGAAGAATGGAGATTCCATCTAAGCTGAGGAAGAATCTGGAAAGGGTATTGGGGGCAAGAGTGGGGATGGAAAGGGTGGTATCAAAATCTGACTTCAGACATGTTACATTTGAGACATCTATTAAGACAGTCAAGTGAAGCTGTCAAGCTGGCAGTTGGATAATAGGAACCTCGAGTTAAGTGGGAAATGATGGCTAAGGATACCACATTTGCGCATCTTCAGCATGTGGGTACTATATAAAGCAATGAGACTGGATGAGGTCACCTAGGAAGTGAGTTATGATAGAGGAGAGACCTGATGAGTGACACCTAGGGCTCTCCAATGTCAGGAGGTCAGTGAAGCAGGAGAGCCGAGTGTGATGTCCTGAAAGCCGAGTGATGAGAGAGTTTCAAGGAGGGAGTGATCAGCGTGCCAAATACTGCTGATAAGCCAAGTAACAGAGGCTGGAGGACTGACCTTTAGACATGGCCATGTGGAGGCCACTGGGGGTTTTGACAAGAATCAGTTTAGAGTGTTGTGATAGAAGCCTGATTAGAATGGGTTCAAGAATAGAAGGAGAGGAAGTGGAAACAGTGTGTGTGGTTAAAGGAAGTTATTTTATTTGATATTCTAAGAGATAAGGGAAATTTATGTGCCAGTGAGAACGACAGAGAGAAGGTTTTGATGTTGGAAAAAGGGGACAGTTAAAGGGACATGTCTTTGAAAAGACAAAAGGATATGGGATCCCGGCACAAGAGACAGAAGAACAGAGTAATAACAGGCCTAGTAATACTAACACAAGGTAACACTTATTAGGCATTTATGTGTGCTAGGAACTAAGTAATTTTACATGGATTCATTTACTTAATTCTTGAAAAAACTCTGAAGAGAGTCCAATTTTTGTTTCCACACTATAGATAAGAAATTGAGAAATTGAGAGGTTAAATAGGTGTAGGAACCAAAATTCCACCTAAAGAAGGCAAACTCAAGAGCCTATGCTTTAAAATATCTATAATAATAAAAGCGTAATATGTTAATTAGACTGGATGTCCTTCTGGGCGACCTTCCGGATGAAGCCAGGGCTTCGAGGGAAGCCTGGGTCCTGGGTGCCTGCCGGTGGCCGGAGGGAAGCCAGGGTCTGGGGTGCCAGAGGGAAGCTGGTGCCGGCAGCCAGGGCAAGGAAGGCCTACTCTTGCACCAATTTCGTGCATCAGGCCTCTAGTTACATTACACTGCCTCAGTAGAAGCAGGGACAATGGTACCATGAAATAGAAAGCAAGAGAAGCAATCAATACCTCTTCCTCAGAGCAAGACCATTTAGTGTTGCTGTTGACTATAGCTGCTTTTGTACTGCTAGAGTTCCTGTTGTGTCACAAGCAGGATAAATGTTTCAGGTCTTATAGGTCTGATTATATGGCTGCTGAGAATTTGCTCCTTACAAGATGACAGAGCAGTACTTTTACCAGCCTGGAGTAAAGCAGGGCAACTATTTCCCTTGCTCTGGATACTGTGATTTGAATTACATAAACCAGGACTGCATCAGCTTTTCTGGTGGCCTCTGCAGTCTCATCTTCAGATCAGTCTCTTGCCCACATATGCTATTTTTCTGGACCAAAGTATTGTTTTTCATACACACACACACACACACACACACACACACACATAGTGATTGATTGATTGATTTCAGAGAGGAAGGGAGAGGAAGAGAGAGGTACAAACATCAATGATGAGAGGGAATCATTGATTGGCTGCCTCCTGCACGTTGGACTGAGCCCACAACCCAGGTATGTGCCCTTGACCGGAATCAAACCTGGGACCTTTCTGTCCGCAGGCCGATGCTCCATACACTGAGCCAAACTGGCTAGGGCTGGACTAAAGTATTTTTGAAATTTAGTTATTAAATTTAATTTGTTTATTCTCCTTCCAGTGCTGTTAAAGTCAATAGCCAAAAGACGACAACTTTGAAACTTATTTTGAATGTTGGCAACATTGTTGAAATATATATGTAGTTTATTTAATATATAATTAATTTAATCCTCCTAAAGTGACAACTCATTTAGTTACATTTGGATATGTTAAAAATTCAGTCACTTTTGCCCTGGCCCTGTAGGTCAGTTGGTTGAGTGTCATCCTCTAAACCAAAAAGGCTGTGGGTTTGATTCCTGGTCAGGTCACATACCTCGGTTGCGGGTTCAATCCCCAGTCAGGGTGCATACAGGAAGCAACCAATTGATGTTTCTCTTTCTCTCTCCCTTCCTCCCTAAAATTAAAAAAAAAAAATGCAGTCACTCTCACAGAATCAACACACTATCTAAAGCAGTACTTCTAAAATATCAGTTTCTTATATATCATATTCATAATACCCATGTATCATCTGTATTAGTATTTGTTTAATATACATATATATTTTTTAAATGTGTTGTTGTTTTTAATTTCAAAGAGGAAGGTAGAGGGAGAGAGAGAAACATCAATGATGAGAGAATCATGGATCAGCTGCACAATCTGTGGGATCTAGCTTGCAACTCGGGCATGTGTCCTGACCAGGAATCGAACCGTGACCTCCTGGTTCATAGGTCAGAGCTCAACCACTGAGCCATGCCGGCCTGGCTGTTTAATACGTTTTTTTAAAAAATAAGTTTTTATTGATTTGAAAGGAAGGGAAACATCGATTGACTGCCTCCTGCACACCCCGTACTGGGGATCAAGTCTGCAACCTGGGCATGTGCCATGACTGAGAATTGAACTGTCATGCACAACTTCTAGGTACATGGGACTGTGCTCAACCAATTGTGCCACACCGACCAAGTCTTAATATCGTTCTTTTTTTTTTTAAAAATATATTTTATTGATTTTTACAGAGAGGAAAGGAGAGAGATAGAGAGTCAGAAACATCGATGAGAGAGAAACATCGACCAGCTGTCTCCTGCACACTCCCCACTGGGGATGTGCCCACAACCCAGGCACATGCCCCTGACCGGAATCGAACCTGGGACCCTTCAGTCCGCAGGCCGACGCTCTATCCACTGAGCCAAACTGGTTTCGGCTTAATATCGTTCTTGATTCATATCTTGATTAACTTGATTAATATCTTGATTCATATCTCCCTATAGTCTAGTAGGTGTACACAGATTTTTTCTAATGTACATTAAAACATATACTATGTTTAAAAAAAATGTTTTCCATGTATCACCTGAAATCATTTTGAGTGATATGATGTTATATGTTACATTCTAGTAAACACTAATTTATACATGTGGAAATAACTGCCGATAGAATAAAAAGAGATTGCCTTTGGATGTGGGACTGAGGGCTAGGGAGACTTAATGTTCATCAAAAGCACCTCCATGCTACATGATTTGCTACATGTATGTTCTATTTTACTAATAAGCATGAAACATTTAAACTCGGTAAAACAAACAAAAAATTGAGCACACTAAGCACTTTGTACACTAACAGACACAAAATAATTACTTGAAAATATTTCTATATTTCATACCTTTTCCTAATGATTTTATAATTTCAGCAAAATGGCATTCTGCTGCTCAAAAATGACATTTATGGATACAAATTCATCTACAAAGTTTGAGGAAAAAAAGACAGTTACCCACTGCAAAATGAAAACTTTCAATTTTTTTATTTTGACTGCAGCTGTTTACAGAAATATAGTTGCGAGTATACAAATGTTCAATAGAAGCAAAATATCTTTTTAATATTTAACAAGTTATCACAGATAGCTAAAAACATAGATGCAAATAAAATTCCCCCAGAGAACAAACTGAAAATATCTGGTGTCAGTGCTCTGCAACCCCAACTATGAAAGCCACATACACAAAAATAGTCATTGTAGGACAATGGAAGAAGGCAGTTCAGTGGTTGATCAGTGTGCTCAAGCAAATAAAATTTAAATGGCAGAATGGTAGCTAAACCACTTGAGAATAGGTTAATGAAATACTTGTAATATATTTATTTAAAAGACGAAGTAAAAGTTGTCAAAAAAATTAGCAACTACTTGGAGCTTATCAATTAGAAATAAGAGAACAAGGTGTGAAGATACATTCATTAGATGAAAAGAATTAGCTGAATGTCATTGGAATCAGTCTGTAGTCCCTAAAGTCATAACACTTCAGTGGACAGCCTTTACTGGACACATTAGTCTGATTCCAATCCCATTCTCAAACATCTGAGATGGGGTGTGTGTGTGTGTATGTGTGTGTGCTGTCCTGAGGTTCATTAGCTAAAATAACAAGTGATCCCCATGAGCTATTCAATTCAGGCAAATTACTTCTGAGGGAAAAAAAGGCAGGGGTGATATGAGGCTTAAATATGGGCTTTTAAAAGAGATATTACAATTTAAAGTCAAACAGAATTATGGTAGAGTGTTTTGGGTACAGAATACTATTATGCAATCAAGTGGGGGAGAGAGAGAGGACAGGGAACAAGAAAGAAGGAATGTAGCTAGAGCATCTCCCAACAGTTTGCCTATGTATTTGCCAGCACCATAGTTTGTAGAGTAAGCCACTTACATTTCCACTGCTAGTATTAAGCAGTAGTGATTTTTATAGAGTATATAATTAGTTTTATTTTGAAATGTGCATTTTTCTTTCATGAGTTAATTGATTTGTAAACACCGGGAGGAAGAGTAGAACAATTACAGGAGGTATTAATTACACAGGAAGATGAAAATGAATGAATAAATCACTTGACTTATGGTGGTTAGTTTATATTTACCATGGTGCATACACTGACAAGGGAGAAATGCCCAAATTATATAATGCATTACTGTCTTGTTTAAGATTTTAGTAAATCGTTGTCTGAAGTATACAGCTATAACTCTACTGCAGCAGTTCTCATACTAAGCAAGCTACTTTTAAAGAAGTTTCATGTGTTCAAAAAAAAGTAATTAAATAAGGTGCTTTGTTGATCTGGCCAGCCATCTTGTTTAATATCTCAGATATAAATATAAATATAGGAATGACAAATTTGTTCTGAGAGTTGGCCTAGCCACACCAAAATTGTTGTCTGCTGGTAAAATAAGAGGCAATGAAAAAAAAGCTTGTATTATCACTGCCCACAATGTACCCATTTTATGCATAAACAGAATAATTTAGCACCTGTCAATTATATTAGCTACTTAAATGTCATAACAATTAAAAGAAATATAAAACATTGCACCTATATCTTTAAATCAGTCACTTAATGTAATGTAAACTTTTTAGTAAGTGGGAGGAATATGCCCAACTAAGTTAACTGAATTATCAATAACTAGACTAATTGTATATATACATAAAATATACTATAAGCAGTATGGAGAATAAGTTATCATTGCCAATAAAGGATTATGAATAACCAGATCAAGCTGAATTTACTTAGAGAACAAAGTATAACTATATGAGCAGGGGAAAAAACAGCTTTTTAGATCTTACTGTAAATAGTTTATACCAGTAATTTTCAAACGTGACCCATGCACCAGATCACCTGGAGGGTGTTAAAACACAGACTGCTGAGCCCCACTCCAGAGTTTCTAATTCAGTGTACCTGGGATAGGCCTTAAGAATTTGCATTTCTAACTAGTTCTCAGGCGATACTGATGTTAGCTGGTAGGCTAAGGACATATTTTGAGAACCACTGGATTATACATATCATATATGTAGAAAACTATATACTGTAATGTTCTTATGTACATGACATAAAATATATAGGAAGAGGGCTGGGTTTAATTAACTCTCAAACATATAAATTAGCAAGCTGATCATTTTAATGTTTCTAAAATGATTTCCTGAAGTGTAATCATTTCCCCTTATTACATCTCAAAGTCTAAGTCCGACTGTAGTCATTTTAGAAAATATTCACATAACACTTATATGAACTTACTGTCCAAAATAAAAAGGGACATAAACATTCTAAATGGTTAAGATGTATTCATTAAGAAAAAATCATTACTATACAGCATCCTTGACTTCTTTGGAATGATTAAAGTGCATACTATCAATAGGGTATTAGGAATATTGCATAAATGTTTGCAGTCATCAGGGTCACTAACAACCATGGAAATACTCACATGAGGAAAGCAGCTCATCCCAAAGCTAATTCTATCCTGACCTGTTGCTGATGGTCCTTTCTTCAGGCACCACCACCGTGTAAGGAGCTGGATGGAACATAGGCAAAATTAACAAAAACCAGAGAAATACTCAATTCAGATCTTAGATCTGGAGAGACTCAGATATAACTTCTTCATTTCTTTTAACACTATTTTTCATAGGTAGATTATTGAGGCTCTGATGAGCAAGAAGTGCACTATAATTAATTAGTTGGCCCTGTCTAGTTAGAAAAATTGACATTACAGATTTTATTTAAACTATGTGTTTGTGACTTATTTTCACTCATCTAATTAAGACCACAGAAGATGCTTTGAACACTCCCTGAAATTTAACTACACACACATGTGTATGCATGGTGTCTCATAGGTAGTAAAAATTTTACTAGCATTCAGGTAAGATCTATCATTAGTTGGCTGAGATGAAGACAAATTTAGTTAATTTATATAAAACCTAAATAGTATAATTCTGTTATCTTTTACTTACCCTCCCTCAGAGGAATGATTCTGATAATGTATCTTTTCTGTTACTCTTATGCAAAAAGGAGTTAGAAACTTATGAAGTTGTTTCCTGTGATGATTAAGAAAAAGAGCTATAAAAACCTTCTATTTGGCACAACCCCTTATAGTGCCCTTCTGGTTGCTAGATGGGATGCTGCCCAATTCATGAATTGCTTAATAAAGCCAAGTAGATTTTCAAAAAGAAAAGAAAGAAATGAAGAAAAGAGAATGGCTAAGTGGAAAAGTTCAAACTGGGACCTATTAAAATAATGTATGTTTTTTTGGCAATAGTGAAAAAGGAAACTACAAAAAGAGGGGCACTATCATGGTAAAAGGCACTCTCTCATTTAATTTAGATATAAAACATTAATTTTAAAATGTCCAAAAGAGAAAGAATAAAAATATAATTTTATTAATAAGTGAGGCTAGAATGGCATGAAAATCAATGGGGACTAAAGAAGTAATTACAGCCCTGGGACAATTCACAAATTACATTGTAGGTATTATTTTGACATTTACTACATTATGAACATTATCTCCACAATTTAGCTCTACTGATACAAATAAGCAGAGGAGAAAACCTTTTTATACATGTTATTAGATTTTACTAAACCACTTAGTAGGGTATGTTCTCTTAGTTATTATTCTAATAAAGCTGCTGAACTATTCAGTCTCTCTCTTTCATCAAGTCTCTCCCTGCATATAACCAAAGTCATTCAGCTATAACATGGTTGTCTTGGTTAGGGATGCAGCCTGTGGTCATGAAGCTAAGTAAAGCTCACAGGTCTTAATATAATTTTCAACTGATTAAAAAAATCAACTAGGAAACAGATATTAGAACAGAAAATTTCACCAGAAAGATAAAAAATTCTCAAGTTACTTCTGGTGAATATTTTTAAGTTATATTGAATTTAAGACTTTGACTTATTAATTAAAGCATTTAATTCTGTTCTTTAATTAGTGCTGAGTCTAAACAGATATTACTTTTCCAAAACAAGCATCTAGAATGGCTTAGTCAAAAGGAATTATCTTAATTCTAGAGGGACTCAGCTATAAGTACTTTCTCATTTCCTTGGACACTACTTCCCCTTAGCAGATTAAATGAAGTTCTGATGGGCCAGAAATGCACATACAATGAAACTCCCAACTATAGCATATACAGTATTACAAAAAGGAAGGGAAAGAAAGGAGAAAGAAGAGGAGGAGAAGGAGAGGAAAGGAAAAAAGGAAGGGAGGAAGGGAAAAAAGGAAGGAAGGTCCCTCATTAATACTGCATTTATAACAAACAAAGTCATAAAAACACCTGTTCTGGGAGACTGGTGAAAACAGATTTGCATTGGCTAAATAAAAACATGACTCTAACTACAAAGGTAACATGATAAAGCTCAGAAGCAAAATTATGACTTCTAATTATCTTCTCCCATGTTGGTGTTGATATATAATGGAATGACAATAAGGAATACAACACACACAAACACTAACACAGACACAGAGATAAGCTCCAAGCATTAATGTGAGTTGCTAAAGCAAGAACAACTGAATATAACAAAACAAAGGAGTAAAATGTGGTTCATAACTTATTTAGGACCTTCTGCCATGAATAACTTGTAACAGTAATCTGGAAACTGTATTATTAGCACACAAGTATCAACCACTGACCACTAAGCTAACTCTTCAATAAGAAGATAAATATTTTTGTAACCAAATTGTATATTCAGAATGCTGTACCTAACATTGACCTTTAGGGATAAGGAACATTTAATAATGTTAAAAAAAAAACACACAACATCATTATTGAATAAGAATATGGTAGCATAGCACAGCCCTTGTATAAATAACCACAAATTTTATGAAAATAAAAACTGGGTTTTCTGTCTCTGTCCAATCAAACCATTCAGGTGTATGTTCTGTTCTAAACTTAGATATTATAAAACAGAAAATTGGTCCCTGGTGACTTGGCATTGGCAATCAGCATTTTACAATGATAAACCTCTTGCTAAACAACAGAAATCAGCACACAGCCAGTCTTCTTGCCACCACTTCATCCATAGAGCAATGTTCCCTCTGCAGTTGGAGTTTTACATTTTAAAACTGAAGCACTGGATTGTGTGGCTGATCTTTCTCATAACCTGAACTATATTGAGTAATTTTTCTCGATAGTGATGGGGGAGAAGAGATATATTGAGGAAAATGCTTTCAGTTCAGAGAATTTATAAAGTAGCTCTGGATATTACAAGGTGGGGAAAATGTTATTAAAATTACAAACATTTTTAGTGTCTTTATAAATAAAAAAGCATAGAACACAGAAAGCCAATTAATAATAATAATAACAATAATAAAATATTAAATATATAGTGAGCAAAGACTGAATGGCTCATTCTCATGAAACACCATTTGACACAACTGCCTAGATGGGTTTCCTTACTCTAACATTTTGCTGAGTAAAATATCCAGCAAACACACAGTAAGCTGCCTTTAGCCCACTAGGAACATCAAAGAACTGCCTGATGGAATGGCCACAGATAAACAGGTCATTTGTTTCAAAAGATACTTAAATACTCAATAAAGACATAACAAACCCCCCCTCACTGTTATCAGACGCCACGTTGTGGTAGAACATCAGACTAACTCACAAATTTACCACAAAAATGTGTGGCAAAAAAGAATAGTTTATATATATGTATATATATAAATTTCTATATTTATGCCAATGTACTCACTCAGTACAAATAGCAAAATAGTATACCATTTCCTAAATACAAAATATAGCTTTCCAAAAAAATGAAACACACATTAGATATAAACCATCCAAAACTTGAACGATTGAAAACTGTATTCAAAATTAAATGACCCAGAGTAGGTCTCTTTCTGAAAAGTTCCCTTCATATCGGCAAGAAGCCTGTACTACTGAAAACGTAATTCAATGCCTCTCAATCAGAGAGAGAAAGGAAGGTTGGGGGTGATGGGAAGAATATATGAGTAAGAAAAAAAAACAAATTAGAAGAAGAGCACATTCAAAGAACCAAGGAAGATCACAAAAAAAGGGGAAAAATCTGACTGTATAAACAAAACCAAGACCACAATTCCACTAAGTTTAACTAAATGTAGAGGATAGAAAAAATAACAACAACAACAAACCAAAGAGAAAAATAGCCTTCAACAAACAATCAACAGGCTATTTTTTTTGTACACTTAAAAAAATAAATGAAACTGACAAGATACCAAAACATCTTATCTACATATAGAAGCCACAAACAGTTTGGCCTTAAACTGTATTAACAGCTTTCTACATGCCAAAAGAAAAATAAGACATAAGCATGTGTCTAGACAACAGGTTGTAATGAGAAGCAAGCATCCCATGGGTGGTAAGAACACCCAAAACTGTATAACTGCTACAACTACAAGTTCTGGAGTGTGTTATTTTGCTCTCTATAGATGAAACACAAGTTAATTCTTCATTTTAAGTCAATGACATGACCCTGTAAAGCCTAAGGCTTATGGGAACCATCAGATAGTGACCACTTCAAACTGTAAAGCACTAAGGTGACAAGTAAATTACACTCACTGCAGCTCATGGAGAAGTTATGCTTCAAGAAATTTTACTTTGCCTTTTAAAAATTAAAATTTATACTGTTTCCCATTAGAGGGAAAAATTTGAAGACTTCAGAACAGCACCGTTCATGGAGAAAAATGCATTGTTTTTTGTTTCTCAGGAATCAGCTCTCCTCATTCCTGAAAATCAGCTCTCCTTACACCTCCTACCTGTGCTGCAGGACTTGTTGGGTTACCCCAGATCAAAGTGGCCTTTTCCTTAAGATGCTACAGGGTCACAAAGCTAGGAATATATTACCAATTTTTTAAAATAAAGTGAAAAGGAAGGGAATAATATAGATGAATATAAAAAGGGAACAACCAGCCCAAGACTGGGTTAAGAAGAAAACAGATTTAAATTGCTGTGTCAATTTTAACTACTGCAAGAGGATATCAGATATAATTTACCACAATATTATCCCCTTCACTTTTTAAAGAGCAAGATAATTATTCTTCTATGTACTTATGGCTGAACTCCTTATCAGAAATACAGAGAATTAAACAACAATCTGAAAAATAAAATCAATAGCACTCCAGCTGTTCCCAGTTGTGTGTTGTCTGCCTTTGTGATAAAGAAGCCTCTTCTCTGTGTAAAGCTCTTAATACAGCTTACTTGTCAGAATGCTATCTCTCCAGTTTTCTATAAAAACTGAAAAAGGATTCCTTCACTTTGGCCAATAGCTGTGCTTTTTATATTGAAAAGTCACAGCCTTAGTTATTATTTGAATTTTCCTTTTTCAAAAGCTGTTATTTGACTAAAACAATGCAGGAAAGAAAATGACAAAGAACAAAAGTAAACATGACAATATGGGTTATTTTCTAATAGCAATAATAACTGAGCAGTCCAGCTTTTAAATTTAAACTGTACTTTTAAAGAAATAGCCCCTAGGAAAATAGCAACAATTAAATCTGTCAGCTTGAAACTCAAGCAGATTCTCAGTCATCAGTGCTATTAGGAATACAAAATCTGAACATGTTAACGATGGTGGCTAGTCACTGCAACAGGCAGCATAGGTGTGCTCATTTGCCGCCAGAGTAAAATCTATCCATTTACTCCATCATAGTTTTTCATATTTCATTTTGTTTTTAAAGTAACAGTTCAATAATCCTCATGGAATCACAAGATCTCAGGACATCTTGGAATCAGGATTTTCTTCATGGAATTTCTAAAAAAAGAAAACATTTAATATAACTCACTAGTGAGGGAAAGCACTTATAAAGTTCCTGTTACCCTGAATGATCCCAAAGTATATTGTAGTACCATAGATGATACATTATCATATTTATACTTCCACAGAGTTTTCTGACTCAATATTTATTCCTCGAGGAAAGGAGAAATGAGACATTATTATATCTAATATATAATACATACATCAAATTTTCTGTCATTCCAAGGCAAAGAAGGTTAGAGCCAGAAGAAATTGCCAGTATTTTTTAAAAATATATTTTTATTGCTTCCAGAGAGGAAGGGAGAGAGAGATATAAACATCAATGATGAGAGAGAATCACCGACCAGCTGCCTCCTGCACGCACCCCACTGAGGACTGAGCCCACAACCTGGGTATGTGCCCTTGACTGGAATCAAACCTGGGACCCTTCAGTCTGCAGGCTGGTGCTCTATCCACTGAACTAAACTGGCTAGGGCAGAATGCCCAGTATTAACAATATGACCATAAGCTATCACATATCGAGTAACTTATTCAGAGTAAAAAAAAGTACCACCTGGTGAGTACACCACATTTACTTAACCAAATCTGCTGGGAATAATAAAATTCGCTGATGCTTTTCAATAAAAAAATAAGCCAAAATGCAATACTTACATATCCAGTTAAAAGGAGCCAGTCATGTTGTTCCCTTGGTTTTGCAATGAAACAAGCAAATCAATCTTTTCAATGTTCTGGTTGGTGTTCATAGAAGATGCCAGTGGAGAATTCTCTGGCATTTGCTGAGAAAGAAGTGTTGTCACAGGTGGCTGGCCCTCGTTTTGTGGTTGGCCTGGCTGACTTATGGCCATCAACTGATCTGGCAATGCAGCTGGTCCAGAAGTTAAAAGCTGATTACAGTCTGCAGAGACATTTTAAATAGAGAAGCTATCTGATTAGTTACTTTCTCTTAAGATTCACAAGAAGATATGAATTAGTTGCTGGGGGTAGTCATTATTGTGTTCACTCAGCATAGACTAAAAGTGAGGCACCTGACAGTCCCCCCAAAAGTACTGATATTTATCTTTGGTTTCCTCTTAGCAGTATACAAACACAGCTTTGTCCAGCTACCATCTTAAGTCCTATATAATTTCCTTGGTACATAAACATTAAAGATGGGCTTTTACCTCCTTGGAAACTACTTAAATTGGCTGAGATTTTCTGTCATTCTTCGTTTTCCTTTCAAGTTCATAGGTTAAAGTGGCAAACACATACACTACCACATTTAATCCTCCCAATATCCTTGTCAAGTAGGTAATATTACCACCATTTTATTAGATGTGCAAACTGAGGTTCATGCCAGTCAACCTGTCTAAGATCTCACAGTCTATTCCTGGTATAACTGGGACCTTAACTCAGTTCTGACAAACTATAATCTGTGTTCTTAAAACCACTGTGCTTTGCTTCTTTCTAATAATAATAATACTTTGACCATTTAAACCAATAACATTTAAGAAATGAGAAATTAGAGTTTCTTACTATTTTGAATGCCAAATAAGAACATTCCTGAAGTCTGCTGAGACGAGCCAGGGGAATTTTGTAGTTGGTTCATTGTGCCTCCTGTAGTGTTGTGAAATAAAGTAGTCTGTGGTTGAGGTGAAGATGTGGCTCCTTGAATTCCAGGCATGTTGTTCTGAGGGGAATAAAGAGGAGACTGTTGCATCTCTTGTTGGTTTATACTCGTCTGCAATGCAGACATGGATGCTGGAGAGAGGAAGAGAGTTACTTGCTGCTCTTGAGAACTGGGTGACCCCTGGACCAGCTGCATCTGAGGAGAGCTATGGAACAAGGAAGTCTGTGACGATTCAGACTGGGTAGGACCTGGGTTTTGAAGTGAGGAAACTGTGGGCTGGTTCTGAAATTGCATGGGCTGTTGTTGCTCTTGATTCATTGTGGCCATATTATTTTGTTGGTGAAAAATTGACTGGTTCTGTTGCTCCTGATTAGCCATTGGATTTTGAGTTGGGTTGAATATCATGTTTGGTGGTGGTGGTTTTTGAGATGCCATTGTAGCCATGGTATTCTGATTACTGAATAAAATACTCTGTTGTTGTTGCTGCTGTTGCTGCTGCTGTTGCTGCTGCTGTTGCTGCTGCTGCTGCTCCTGGGATGGGGAATTACTCTGGATGGCAACTATTGAGTGCTGTGCCTGGAAGATTGTCCCTTGTTGGTTTTGAGGCATTGGATTAGGAGGAAGGGAGCCCAGGGATACCTGAGGCTGGAACAGACCTTGCTGGGAGGGTTGTGCCTGTTCTTGAGAAAGCATGGGGGTCTGAATGTGTGACATTGGAGGCTGCTGTTGGAAAGCAGTTTGCTGCTCAGTGTTTGACGTTGACTGAAGTGGAGAAATTGAGTTCTGAGCTGCAAAAAATGAAATCTGTTCTTCCTGGGCTACTGCATTAGCCTGAAGATTATTCATTGGACTTTGGGAAATAAATATGTTGGCCGACTGCTGATCTTGAGGAACATTAGAACCCTGTAGCACAGCCATGGTACTTTGAGAGTGAAACATTGGAGGCTGCATCTGTTCAGTGGAGGTTGTAGAAGTCTGACTGTGAACAATAGGACTTGGGCTGTGAAAAATAGAGCCTTGAGTTTCCTGGGAAAGGTTTTGAGCATCAGCAATAGGATTTTGAGGATGAAAAAGCTGAGCCTGTGAATGAGAAGGCTGCTGCAAAAAATTTCCAGATTGGAGTGACATCATCTCATTACCTTGCTGGAATAAACCATTACCTTGTTGCTGGGCACCACTATTTTGAACACTCATCATACTTTTTGTAGATGAAAAAAGGTTAACTTGAGGTTGACTGTCCCCACTATGTTGCATTTGGACAATGGTCTGAAAGACACTGTTCTGCATCTGTTTTGCTTGTGTGCCTGTTTCCTCTCCATCTCCTGAACTTGACGTTTGAAACATGGTAGTGCCAGGGGTTGCAACCTGCTGTGTGGTGGTTGTATTAGTTTCATTTCCAGAAACTGCAGGAGGAGAAGAAAACAATTCACATTGCATTTGCATGTCTTCACTGGTAGGTAATGCACTCATCATATGAGGAGTCTGCTGGTAAACTGGAGATTGCTGAAGATTTCCATTTGCTGAAGCAGGTGAAGGAAATAATTCCGACTGAATCTGAGCCTGGCAGATACTCTGTTGCATCTCCATCACCATTGCAGCTGATGATTCCATCACCTGCTGTTGCTGCTGCTGCTGCTGTTGATTAGATAATGTGTTTTCGGTCTGTGAGTGAACACTTTCAGCTCTTCCAGCTATTAAATTATCTGGTCTGGTATGGACTGCTGGCTCTGTCGGGGAAAACATTCCAGGGCTTACACTATTTTGAATTTGACTGACTTGTTGAAAAATGTCTGCACTAAGCTGTTCTTGAACATTCTCATTACCATCTGGAGTAGAAAACAAAACTGAAGATAACTGTTGTTGTGCCTCTAAAACTTGTTGTGCCTCTAAAACTTGTTGTGCCTCTAAAACCAAGTCAACATTTCCACTGCTGCCACTAGCAGTACTGCCGCTAAAACTTCCAGCTTGCAACTGCTGAATGGTGTTCTGTATCTGACTCACACTACTTGGTGATGGGAACATACTTGATGAAATCTGCTGCTGTAAAGTCTGTGATTGTTCTTGTAGTGGTGGCTGCTGCTGTTGCTGTGAAGCCTCAGTCAGGTGCGACAAATTAATCACAGTTCCATCTGACTGTAATACCTCTCTAGATTGAGTTTCTCTTGTCTGAAACTGTGTGGCCTGCTGCAGTAGTGCATCACTGTTAGGCAGCTGACTAGAAGCAGAAACTGTTGGAAAGGTACCAGGCTGTGAAATGTCCTGTGTTTGGATAGTTGTCAGGGTTTCTGGATTGTATGCCTTGGGCTGAATCTGCTGCTGCTTTTCATTTTCAGAGGGTAAGTGAGAAGATGATGATGATGAAAAAGAGCCATTTCCTGTCATGTTAGAGATATTTTCTAATGTTTGTTGAGTTGATCCAACTGTCTTTGTAGTCTGAAAAATAAAAATTCCCAGATAATATTAATTAATAACCATTAAATGAGCTCATGTGATACTTCAAAAATTAATATTAGCCTAAAAACATATGCATATGCAGGACCAATTTTCCACTCGACATTATTTGGAAAATAGGTATAAGACTATGATTTTTGGTGATACATGTTTGATTGTCTAAAGAGTATTTTTAAAATCCTATATAATAAAAGCCTAATATGCTACATGTCTGGTTGTCCATTCAACCAATCAAAGTGTAATATGCTAATGATATGCTAAGACCACTCAACCACTCGCTATGACGTGCACTGACCACCAGGGGGCAGACAGTTGATCAGTCAACCAGACACTATGACGTGCACTGACCACCAGGGGGCAGACAGTTGGCCGGTCGACCAGTTGCTATGACATGCTCTGACCATCAGGGGGCAGACCTTCTGACTGGTAGGTTAACTGCTGAGGTCCAGCAGTCGGGACTGAGTGAGACAGGCCAGACACACCCTGGAGCCCTCCCATGGTCCCTCCCTGGCCCCGATCCTGCACCAGTGGGGTCCCTCGGCCTGGCTTGCATTCTCTCACAATCCGGGACCCCTCGGGGGATGTCGGAGAGCCAGTTTCGGCCCAATCCCACAGGGCAGGCTGAGGGACCCCATTGGTGCACAAATTCGTGCACTGGGCCTCTAATATCTAATCTAATAAAAGAGAAACATGCAAATTGCCTGTACCTTCGCTACACCCACAAGCCACACCCACAAGCCAATCAAGAACAAATATGCAAATTATCCTAACTAAGATGGTGGTGGCCATGGAGCTGGAGCGTTGCCCCTGGCAATGGAGGAAGCCAAGCTTCCCGCCTGCCCTGCTGGTTCTGAGCTCCACTCAAGGCTATAAAGTTTCAATTATAGAAGATAAATAAATCCCAGATACCTGCTTCCAGCCCAAGGCCGTGGCCAGCCTGAAAACGGCCATGAGCCCCTCACCCAGGCTGTCCAGGCACCCAGCGGGACCCCCACCCTGATCCAGGACACTCTTCAGGGAAAACCAAATGGCCCCCACCGGTGCACCAGGCCTCTATCCTATATAATAAAAGGGTAATATGCAAATCTACCCTAACAACAGAATGACTGGGAATGACTGGTCACTATGACACACTGATCATCAGGGGGAAGATGCTCAATGCAGGAGCTGTCCTCTGGTGGTCAGTGTGCTTCCACAGGGGGAGCTCTGCTCAGCCACAGGCCAGGCTGGCTGCCAGCACAGCAATGGTGGTAGGAGCTTCTCCCGCCTCCTCAGCAGCGCTAAGGATGCCAGACTGCAGCTTAGGCCTGCTCCCCACTGGCAAGTGGACATCCCCCAAGGGATCCTGAGATGCCAGAGGGATGTCTGACTGCAAACTTAGGCTTGATCCCCCAGGGAATGGGCCTAAGCCAGCAGGTGGACATCCCCTGAGGGGTCCCAGATTGCGAGAGGGTACAGACCAGGCTGAGGGACCCACCTGAATGCACAAATATTTCTGCACTGGGCTTCTAGTGTATTATAAACAAAGATAGTCAAATAAGGAAGTAAAAGAATAATCAACTGCCCAGTCAGTGTGCTCAGTGGCTGAGCATTGACCTATGAACCAGGAGGTCATGGTTTGATTCTCGGTCAGGGCACATGCTTGGGTTACGGAATCAATCCCCAGTGTGGGGTGTGCAGGAGGCAGTCGATCAATGATTCTCTCTTATCATTGATGTTTCTATCTCTCTCTTCCTCTTCCTTCCTCTCTGAAATCAAATATATATATAAATTAATATATAAAGTAATCAGCTATTGATATGCTTAGGACAGTTAAAACATTAATTCTATGGTTCATGAATTAAAAGCAAGCTAAAAAATATTCCCATTTTGCCCTAACCAGTTTGGCTCAGTGGATATAGCATCAGCCTGCAGACTGTAGGGTCCCAGGTCCGATTTCAGTCAAGGGCATGTACCTTGGTTGCAGGCACATCCCCAGTAGGGGGTGTGCAGGAGGCAGCTGATCGATGTTTCTCTCTCATCGATGTTTCTAACTCTCTATCCCTCTCCCTTCCTCTCTGTAAAAAAATCAATAAAATGTATTTAATATATATATATATTCCCATTTTGTGGTTTCCTGGTAACATTGTAGGAGGAAAACAAATGAAAAAGGGAAAGGGAGTTACAGGAAGAGTGGGAAAGAAAAGGAAATAAAAATGTCTCTAATTTTAAAAATGCTAACCAGTACTTTCATTAACACCCTCCATCTCACAGGTCTAGCTAACACATTAATTCCTTCTTGCTTGTCAAAAATAGATACTGAAAGTCACTTTAAAGGCAGGCTACTTTACTGGAGTATAAAAGCACTTACTCTGAAAAACAAAATTCATTAAGTGCATCTAAAGAAAAACAAATGTGAAAGAAACAGAAAAAGTAAAAAGCATAAACATGGAGAAAAGAAATCAAACCACTTAAAATATAAAAAGTAATTTTTATATTTGAGGTTAAGATGGGGGACATTTGTCAATATGGCTGGCTTACCTTAAAAATAGGAGATCTTTTTTCTGCTGTCACTTCCATTGGAGTAACATCTTCACTCTTAATCATACTGCTTGATATGAGTGGAGTGATCAGAGCATTAGGAAGAATATTTACCTTATCTAAATTACATCCAGTAGTCTTTATAGCTGCATACACAGACACACACACACACAAAAAGAAAGAAAAGCTTAAAATCACTAAAGTCATCAACTATTTCATTCTATATAGTGTGATGATTATTAGCCATGATTTTAAAGTCCATTTTTTTTAATGTTATGAGATACAGCATGAGATACAAAACTGGCATATCAAAATGTATCCTCCCTTTTTTGAAGTAGCTTTTGCTTGAGGAAGGAAAAGTGATAGAGGAATAGAAATATCAATGAGAAACATCAATCAGCTGCCTCCTGCATGCCCACTACTGGAAACATAGCCTGCAACCCAGGCACATGCCCTCATCAGAAATCGAGCCAGTTACCTCTTAATTCAGGGTGGATGATCAACCACTGAACCACGCTCAAGCTTCTTATGAGAAGCTTGGCCACCAGGTAACCAAATAAATTTTGTGTTTCTAAATTAATGTCTTAGAAAACTTGAATTTGACAAGTTGACACATGAACACATTTCTCTTTTAGATAGGACTTCAAATATTTTCTTTTTAGAAATTTAAGGACTATTTTAGTTTACCAACTAAATTTCCAAAACAAAACCAGCAAGTATTTTTCACTTCTTTTCATTCCCATTTTCAATAGAGATTTACACTGAGAAGCAATATATAGCAGATGAGGTACATTTTATCACTTCATTGTATCTACTTTCCCCCCTTGATTCTTCCTTCCTTCCTTCCTTCCTTCCT